GAGGAGGAGGAGGAGGAGGAGGAGGAGGAGGAGGAGGAGGAGGAGGAAAATGAGTGTCTGCAGGGCACATAGCATCTACCTAAGAAGCTGCTTGCCTGTAGGTCAGGGGCTTTCATTCTAGTCAATTTTCTGTTGTAGGATCCAGATGCCAGTATTTTTTTGGCATTAGTTGGACAACTGACAGTAGAAGACCAAGAGGCTAGTCCTATCTAGGTAGCTGCCTGCTGACCATCTTCCATAGAGAGGAGACAGGCGGTTGGTCCTTGTGCTCCGTCTACCCACAGTGGCATGATCTGAGGGCTCAGAGAGTGCCAACCTATGGGGGACTTTTGAGAGTCCACTTTTCCAGAGTTCCAGAAGGCTGGAGTCCAGCCCTGAGGAAAGGAAAGAAGTCCATGGCTTGCCCTCAATGGGGTTGCTGCTGTAGTCAGGGAAGGAGGGTGTTCTGGGGTGTGGGTGGAAGGGCAGCCCTGGTTTCCTGGCTGGTTCACCACTGCCCAACTCTGCCCCAACAGCTGTCTTCAGGGTCATGAGCTTCATGTTCCCCTCTTCTGTATGAGGCTGGCCGTCACCAAATCAGGGGATTATTCTAGTGACTCTTGACCAGTTCTGGAAGTACTTGGCATAGTCCTTGGCACACAGAAGATATTCCTGATGAGAGTGCTCAATATGGATTGGCATCACTGTGTCTATAGACCTGTTTACCTGGTATGATGCTTGGCACAAAGAATGGGTACGATACATATTTCTGAAGGGACAAATAGCTCAAGTTGGCAGTTTCAAAATAGAAGTGCTTACTAGTTCCTATAGTTAAAGGTTCCTATGGTTCCTATAGTTAAATTTCCACACACCCCTCTCAGTTTGGGAAATGTTCACTATATTTTTCCTTTGTGTAAGTGTGTGTGTGTGTGTGTGTGAGAGAGAGAGAGAGAGAGACCTGACAGAGTGAAGACCCTGTGGGGTGACTTAATCTGTAGTTTTTAAGGTCAATACCATGAAGAGAATAGCCAAAGAGAACTGTGTTCTATACATGTCTGAAGACGCCCAGGGGATTCAAACAGTCAGCATCAAAAGTGCTCTGTGTTGAAAGGAGGACGTGCTACACAATCACTGTGGCCATTGTTTCCATCCATAGCCACCAGGGTGTTAACGAAACCACGATGGGACTGAGGGCTGAGCTCCCCTAACTTGTCTGCGGAGCCGGGCAGGGGCAAGTGCGCTTCAGCACCCCCAGCCTCACCCATGCAGCAGTGTGGGTGGGTTTTGTTGTCTTCTTTTCTTGTATCATTTCTTCTTTGCTGGTAAAACTGGAACGAAAGGCTACAGACATCAACTGTGCAAATAACCTTGAGAGGCGGCTGTTCTAGTCGAAACTTACACGGTCTCCCTTGTTGCTATGGTTACCTCCAGCAGGTCGCCCAGTGAGACTGGCTCTGTCATCAGCAACGAATCAGGGAAGCCCAGCTCAGGGAGACGCTCACCCCAGAACGTAATGGCACAGCAGAAAGTGACAAAGGAGGAGGCAAGGAAGAGAAATGGTGAGAAGCCTTCCCGCCAAGCACCACCAGCCCCTCCCACGCGTGCCCGCGCACACGCCTGCGCATGTGTCGCACGAACCGGGTCCTCTTTCTTCTGCACGACAAGGACCCGGAGTCGGCTGTGAACCTCTTGGGTGATCACCATAGCTCCTTCTCTGAATTGTCCTGTCCTCCCTTCTCTGCACTCTGTTCTTAAGGAATTGTGCAGTTTCTTAGAAAATCCCTCTGCAGGACGTCTTGATGTTTGCTTAGAGATTTTTCAACTTCTTCAGTGAATCCACATGATTTCTAGCTTTGGGTCCATTAAGGTAGCAGGTCTCAGAAATGTTGCCCTTCTTTGAGATTTTCTTCAATTTCTCGCCCTGATACCCCTGATGAGTTTCAGGGGGTTCAGTCAGTACCAGTGAGTTGAGATATTGCAAATACATCTGGGGCAGGGGACCATGAACAGATCTGTGATTTAAAAAAAAAAAAAAAAATCAGCTTTATGCTGAATTCTTCTGGGAAACTTAAGTGTTTAGTTTCCGTCTCACACAGATCATTTCATTCCCCATAAAGGATGTGTTTGAGGTCTATTTCTGGGTTGCCTGAGCTCCCTTATTGTGCTATAGATCACCTCTGTTGGACATCAATGTGCATCCCCCCCTCTCCTGATCCCACCTTTGTTCTGACCCTCATCTCCATGTGGTCCTTCTGCTCGTGAGGCTGTCTTACTGGAGAGCAGAGTACAGGAGCTTGGTGCTGCTGGTTTCAGATCAGGGAAAATTCCTTTTGGATTTCAAAGGGTTATAGGTGGAGCTCTACAGAAATGCCAGGTGAAAAGCTAAGCAATCTGGCACTGTGCTTGGCTGCACTTTTCTTTTACGGGAATTTGATGAAGTGAAGTTCAGGAACTCTCTCTTGAAGCTAGTGCCAGAATATTATTTTGTTTTCAAATGTCACTTATTTCTTTTTTCTGGAGGGAGGGAGGGAGGGAGGGAGAGAGAGAGAGAGAGAGAGAGAGAGAGAGAGAGAGAGAGAGAGAGAAAAGATAGACACACAGAGTGGATTTGCATTCCAGAGAGAAAACATAGTCCCCATCCTTATTTCCAGTTATTATGTAAAGCACCTGTTTAAACTGTCATGTCACTCAGAGATGATCTGAAATACATGGGAAGACATACTATGCCATTTTATGTAGGGGACTTGAGCATCCACAGATTTTGTTATCTGTAGGTATTCTGGAACCAATCCTCTGCCTCTGAGGTACCAAGGGATACAAGTTCTGCAGTGGTCACTGACCCCTAGTCCAGATGATATTATCCTACCCTCCCTCCCCACTCACCCACCCCAGGCCTCATGTAACCCTGAATAACTCAGTGTATGTCTTTCTCCGACCTTTTTACTATGCATACAATAACATGCACATATCTTTGTGTTTTGTTATCTTGCTTTGTTTTCTTTTATGAAATGGAATCAATGTACATATTATCCTATGCCCTTTTTCCTGCTCAAAAATGTGCAAAGTACAGACTTCTCTGACAATGAGTAGACATTCATAACATGATGCCCTTTGTCCTCTCCTGTATTTAATCCATGGAGGAAGAGGAAGCAGCCAGTTATTGACCGCGTCACTCCCCACCCCCCTGGAGACACTCTGACCTGCTCTAAGTGTCCCTGCTGTCCTTCACTGTTCCTATTTGTTCACCTGCTCTGCCTGCCTCCTTATTATGTTTAGGTCACTGACTATTTAAATAGGTGGTCCATCTTATATGAATACATCATAGTGAATCCCACCATCATGTACATCCATAAAAATGGTGTCCTAACTAGAATAAGATACATTCCGTGCTTGTACATTTATATCAAAATGAATTCTACTGTCAGATATAACTAAAAGGAACCAAAAACAAACAAACGGCAGGTCCAGAAATAGCAATAGACAGGTGTGTGAATAAAATGCAGTTACTGTACCAGGTTGAGGTTTTTGTTTGTTTTATTAAGAAACTATCCTTCCCAGGTTTAGAGTGCTTACTCGCTCACATTTTACTTTTGCCAAGTAAACGCAGTGAATTTTCAGTGATTGTTTCTGTTTTACTGTAAGTTTCCATTCAATGAGGTTAAAGATTAAAATTTCCAACTAGGAATGATAGAACCAACTCACTCATTTTATATAAAACTCAACCAGTGCAGAACCACATTGGCATTCTAGAATCAATCTCTTATGAAACCCACATTTGTCTTTTTCTAATCAAAGGGCTCCTTTTTATTGTAATACTAGATAAGAGTTAACCAATAAACGTCAATAATGTATTTGGATTAGAAGATGGATGGAAGGGAGGGAGGGGGATAAAAAAACACTGAATGGGATTGTGGAGAAAATAGAAAGGCGTTTTTTGGTCACTTTGCTAGCCTGCAAAGAGTATTGAGCTCTTCTCGTTTGGCCTCTGAGTACAGATTCTTCTGTTGGTATGGAATATTCCAGTACTGTTGTCTTATGGCTTGGTGTGTGTTCTAGAAGCTAGGGTTACAGAGGTTAATTAATGTTAATGTTCTGGGCTGACATTCTAAAGCTATTCTTATTTTCCACCAGTTTTGTTGCACCAGTTTTTGTAGCTTCTAAAATTCTTCTTTTGTGAAAATAAAAACTTTAAGAGGAAAAGACCTTATCCTGCTAGCAACATGACTTCCACAGCTCCTTGTTGCCCAATGGCCTCTTAGTGACCATAGCTGCAATGCAGTTTTAGAGTCGATTTCATGAAGATGTTTAATTATATATGGGAAAGTTAGATGTGACAACAAGAACAATTGGGTGCTTTCCTCAACCAAATATAAACATTTGCACTTGAACCTAGTGTCACCTTTGAAAGGTGTTTTCCAAAAGAGAGAGTTAAGTTAAAATAAAATATGCATATTTTTCTTCATCCATTTAGGAGGAAACAACCTCCTTAAATCCTGTGTCATTCAGATTTCACTGAGGCCCAGAATCTAACAGCCATGGGCAAATGAGGAAAGAGGAGAAAGCATTAGAGACTTTCAGGAGTCAATTGCTTTTTCAGTAGGGGTCTTGGGGAAAGATCTAGAATTAGGACATAAAGGAAGAATGTCAGAGATACTAGCTCAAAAACAGTTTCAGTTCTCATTTATTCTTTGCTCTCCAGATGATGTGGAAGCTTGCTTTTACTCATTTAGGTTCTCACTGGCAAATGGTAATTGTAGATATTCATAGGGTACCATGTGATTTTCGGTACCTGCATATGTGTGGAATGACCACACCATGGTAATCAACATATCAGATTACACCAGAGGACAGTGATTCTAGTGGTCGATTATTAATAGTCCTTGGCTTTAATGAACATTTCAGAAAAAAACATGTTTGAATAGCATTTCTGCCTCCAATGGGAGGATTTTCCCCATGCCAATTGAACATGAAAAGTGAAATCTTTTTCTAACTTGATTTACTGAAATAAAAACCAACAATGCAAATAAAGTACAACAAGATAGAAAATGGTGGCATAGTGGCATCTACTGTGTGGATAGCATCCTAAGACTCTTCCTCAGCTTAACTGTGGCCCTTGCCCTTAGCATCCTTCCATGCTTTTTACTTTAGGGACTAATTATGCATTAAAATCCCCATGAACCTGCTGCTCTCACACAACATTTAATGCATTAATATTTAACATGATGTCTTTGAATGTATTTTTCTGTAAAGTCTTTTTGGAAAGAGGATAACTAATTAATCTTAAAAACCTAGAGGAATTGTTGTACAAATCTGGATATGACTTTTTTTTTTCAAATTGAAGTAGAAATAGAACTGTAACTTATACAATTTCTAGGATGTCGTTTTCCTGTCCTATTATAATCATGCTGCCCACAGCATGAGGGGTGAAGGTGTCAAACCTAGAAGCAATAAAAATGCTCCATACCATCTCTTCACCTCTGAATGGTTTAGTGATAGCATGACTTTAGCATCCACATTGGCATCTGTTTTTCTGGCTCTCATATCTCCTTTCCCAAGTCAAGAAAACTGAGCCATTCATTCATTCACTCATTTATTCACCAAATACTTATTGAAAGCCAGCTCCATGGGAAACACCATTGAAAGGCAAGAAGCATCAGCCTTTTAAAAGATGGGCAGGAATAGAGCTTCTATGCTAGTGGTAGGGCAAGGGCAGATTGTCAGAACATCAAATCAGTAATGCTAAGAGCAATGAAGAAAGTATAACAAGATGACAAGGGGTGGTTGTAGGCGGCTGGTTAGGGAAAATAGTTTTCAAGCTGCAACTTGAAAAGTAAGAAGGTACTGGGCATGGAAAGGTCTTCAGAAATTGCAGTCTGAGAAGGGGAAGGCTAAAGCAAAACACAGAGCAGGTGAAAACAGAAATGCATGTTTTTGTCACTTTGCTAGACTGCAAAAAATATTGAGCTCTTCTTGTTTGACTGGCCTCTGAGAAGATTGCTGTGATGGAGCAGAATGGATTAGTGGGTAGGAGATGGGCTCTGCGAGGTGGCCAGCCCCAGCTCCCCTAGGTCCCTGTAGGGGAGAGATGAAGTCTGCAGATGGTTCTGATCAGAGACATAATGTGATCTTGTTCCCTTTCAAAATTCATCCATCCTTGCTGCTGGGGAATATGCATTTAGGGGTAAAGGGATAAGAGTGGAAATGCCAAGGTAGGTGATTGCTTAGAAGGTATACATGTAACAAAATTGCCCCTATACTTAGTGACCTAAAATGACAATCTGTATTTATTGTCTTTCATAATTTCTGTGGGTCTGGAATTTAGCAGTGGCTTAGCTGGGTGATATTGGCTTAGGGTCTCTCATGAGATCATGGTCAAGATGTTGCTGTAAATTGTAGTCAACTAACACCTTGACTGAGCCTGCAGATGGCTCACTCACATGACTGTTGGCAAGAAGCCTGTGTTCCCTGCCGGATGGACTTTTCCAAAGTACTGCTTGAGTTTCCTCATAACATGGCTGCTGGTTTTCCCCAGAAAGCAAGGTGGAAGACATCATGGTATTTTTTTAATTATTATTTACTCTCGCAGAGTGGTGTGCAATCACCAGGGATTTCTTGCCTGCTCAGAGGGATAAGCCTCCTGAGAAATTAAAGTCTAGAATAATTAGTGAAAAACAAAAGACAAACAGTGAGAAATGATAGTTTTAAAGATGGAGCCCTATAGATCCAGTCCACACAGGAGCTGGAGCTAGACAATTAGAAAATGCCTCCTGTGGTTTATTTAAGGGGGTACATCAAAGGCAAAGGTAAGGTTTCAAGGGCAGAGTCTTGCTTCATGAGGTCTCGCAGTCAGCAGGTTGATTGGCATCTTGGCAGGCCACACCTATCTCAGAGGGGCTGTGCGGCTGTGGTTGTAGCAGGTCATCCCATCTCCTATGCTGTGTGGGACCTGGGGAAGAGCTTAAATAAGGCTCATGATGTGTCTGGGCAGTCAACCAGAGGAAATGTCCACTGGAAGTTCCCAGACACCCAATTCACCTATTCATTAGGCTGCGGTCCACACACAGCCCACAGATGGCTTTCCACAATTTACCACCAAGCCTTGGAAGTAACACACTGTCATTTGTGCAATTTCCTCTTGGTTTCCTAGATCAGTTCTATTCATTGTGTGAGAATTAGGAGATGAGAATTATTAGGAGCCAGCTTGGAGGCTGGTTATCTCATATGGTTTGTTTACCACGTGCAGGTGGAAAATGGTAGTGGTGACCAGACAAGAGGTGCCCAGCTAAGCTACCCTCTAAAAATATATACATATGTAGCAACATGTCTGAAGAGAGATGTCTTCTGCCATTGGCTGCTTGGTGAACTACTCTTTGCAAATCAGTCAACAAAACTCTAAAAAAGAAAAAAATCTAATTATAACCCATTGTTAGACTCAGAGGTGTTTTATCCACACTGTAAAATAACAATTTACTTGGCTTAATTTGACAGATCTTCTGTGATTATGATAAGTGACAGAATGATACATACTATGTGTTTCTCAATAATTTAAACAACATTCCAGTCTCTTGAGCAGGCAGGAGGAAAGATGAATACACTTCCATTACATTCATATTTTATATAACACCTATTTTGCTTCTAAACTGTCTGCTGGTGTAGTTGTTTGAACAGGCTTAATTTATCTCTTGCCGAGCCACGCTCAATAAGCTGTCATTCCTATAGTTACTTCCTAGGAATATGCTTTAAGAACAAGGAAATCAGCAAGATACCACTGGCCCCGAAACTTCTTCTGTCAGCTGGGAAAACACAAAGCCAACTGGTGTCTTTCAGCCATCACAGCAGAACTATCTGTCAAATGGGAAATTAATTTAACCAACTGTTGGTGGTAATCAGTCTATTTAATTAGTTATTTAATTAATTTGTTTCTCTGGTGGTTATTTTATAGCTTTCTTTTGTTTTAAACAAATGAAAAAAACCAAAACCCAAATTCTTGGAGAACCAGCCTTCAGAAAGAAAAAGAAAAGAAAAAAAAAGTATTAACAAGAATGAGAGTAGCCAGTGGACCAAGAGAGACTTGCCATCTTGGCGCCATGCAAAAGGTTGTCACTTTGGTGACCAGGACTGCACTGCACGCTTGCCTCTTGTAATGGTAGATGTTAAGAATAGTTGTGGGGTTTGGCCAATTTTTTTTTTCCCATTTCCAACTCAAACAGAAGACAAATTTAGTTTTTATTCATTTTCAAATGCGTTTTGTCACAGTTTTGGAAGAATGGTGTTTGCTGTTTAAATTCGAACTTTTAAAATTCTTTCTTGCCCATGGATAATGCAACAGGAGGGGGCAGATAAATAGCACCGATCTGAAATTTAAAAGAAAACCACAAGCACAGTGAGCCCTTGACACAAATCCAGATGCTGTTGTCTCTGATGTCGTTTTGAGTCAAGTGGCATCCTTAGGTGCCAAGACTGCAGCCTGTTCTCTCTGGCCACGCAGCGCCCGTACATCATAGTAAAATCAATGTGTTTATGTTGTGCTTCAGTGCCAGCGAGTGATGAAGAGGAGGGACCTGTCCTCTTTGACAACTCTGGCAAGGTGGCTGCTGATCCCTTCGACACGTCCTCTGGGTCTGTGCAGCTCATCGCAATCAAACCCGCAGCCCTCCCCGTGGTGCACCCCACTTCGGACAGGAGCCAGGAGACCTCAGCCGTCCTCAACGGGGAGGTGAGCATCCAGCGACCCTGTGCAGAGTGTGGCCAGACCTCAGGGATTCGGAGTAAGGGGTATTGAGCTGACCTCAGCCTCTCAAGGTCATTTTTGCTTCTGCACGTGGTAGACCTCCATGGTTGACGCCTTCAGAGCATTTTCTGCCTTCTCTGCAAGCCCAGAGGGAGCCTTTTAAAAAGTTTGGTTATGAAGAGGAAAATCAGAAATCCTACTTCCCCTGCCCCTCACGCATACAGCCTTCTGCCTCACACCCCGAAATTTCCATTAAGGATGTCATTGTGATGGTGATGGGAGGGGGGTGAATTGAGAGGGAAGTGGAGAATCTATCATTGTGTGGACAGGGATGGGGCCTGCTGTAGGCTCTGAAATGGCATTTATTCGTTCCAGAAAGCTCAAAACAACCCATTGGCTGCTTTGAGGAGAATACCAATGGGTAACATGATATTAATCAACTTTCCTTGGAGTTTGAAAAAAATTGGTAACGTATGTTAGGAAGCGATGATTTACCAAATAAAATTAGATAGAGAGATAATAGATGAGGACAGATGATAAACAGGTGATAGGTAATTGATAGATAATTGATGACTGACAGATGGTGGGGGGAGGGGCAGAGCCCATGCTATCTCCAAGGGAGAACAAGAAGTCACGTAAAAATTACCTGCCATCCTCTGTCTTCTGCAGAAAAATGGTCAGAGGGTTAAAAATGTTTATGAACCGTTAAGAAGGTGTATACGGAACCTGCTTGTGAACACTTAAGCTACACAGGGGTGCGGGCATGCGAGCACACACAAGCACTCACACTCTGATGCTTTCCTCTGATGCCAAGCCATCGGGATGATCATGCCTTTCATTTGCTTATGCCCTGATGTTACCTCCAACAGGTGGGAGATTTCTGAAGTTTTAAAGTCTTTTTATTACCGTACCTTAAGAAAGTGTCGCAGTCCCTGTACAACCGGGTATTGTAAACATCCATCGGGTGTTGTCCTTATTCCACTATTCAGGATGCTTACACAAGCATTTTATGAACCTGATTGAAGAAGTGCCTCTGGGCAGAAAGACTGAGCTGGCCTAAAGTTGTGATAGTTGACTTTTAAAAATAACTAGTTATATAGACTCATAGAGCATCCATTCCACCTTCCTAATTTTTTAGATAAATAAAACTGAGCCCAAGGGATCAGATGGCTTGCTCAAAGTCAAAGTGAAGATTACTGTGGTAGCCATGATGTTCAGGTGCCCGGGCTCCATGTCCAATGTTCCTTCTTTCTCTTTAAAAAAAATTTTTTTTTCAGCCCATTGGTGAAAAAATAGCATTGATCTCTTGAGCTACACCACCATGGTTTGAATCCCAGCCCTTTCATTTGCCATCTGTGTGACCTTAGGCAGGTTAGTTAAATCTTCTGTATCTCAGCATCTTCATCCATAAAATAGGGCTGCTCTGAGGCATTAGGTAAAGCATTAGAACAATGCCTAACTCACAGTAAGCACTTTATTATTACCATCAATCAACAAGGATGGATTAGTTGATCATGTACTTTGTGCCCCTTGGCTCTATAATCTGATAGCCTGGATGCCTTCTCAAAACCACTGAATCTCCATGGGTGCAATTCTGCCATCAGACATGCAGGGTGCTGAGGCCAATAAGAATTAGCTGCTCTTAATTAGGACCCTCTACCTAATTGTGGCTGCCTTGCCTGGGTCTCTTTGTCCCATCTTAATCATAAGAGCATCATGGAGACAGACTCCGAATCTGGGATAGATGTGATTTACCACTCCCTTTTCCTCCCAGGCCCATCACCCTGTCACAGAAGGAGAACAGATGAGCATTTTCCTCGTCCAGAAATGAATTCTTGCTACATTTGGGTAGTTAAAGGAATGGACCTTGCTGGCATTTGGATTGGAAGAGAGCCCTGAACTGTTCTCTGTAATTTGCTGCCTTGTGGAGCTTGACACAGATTGCTTTATAATTTTCTTTCTTCTTTTCTCATGGGTGACTGGTTTAAATGGAAAAAAAAAACCCATAACCCCAAAGCCATAAATTTTCCTTTTATGAATTACAGGAAATTCTTTTAAAGAGTACTTTAAAGAAAACATAACAACCACAAAGAAAGTTCAGCAAAGTGGGTGTAAACTCCTTATCATTCTGTTATTTATTAATCACGGTCATCTGCCTGAGTCTTTCACAGGTCAGAGGGACATTAGCCATGTTCCTTTCTAAAAAACCAGACTGGCTTTGCCCCATCCAGCAGGACCTGGTTGGCATTAGTAGCCAGATGAAGCTTCAAAATGGTCTCTCTGATTTACTGAAATGTTCATCCTTGTGCAGTTTGATAGTGTGGCCTCAGGAGCAGGACACTTGTCCTCCCTTCCCTCTCCAGTCATCCCAACTCACAGGCCTCAGGGACTAGTGGTCTCATCCAGCTGGGCCTCAGATAGACGGCCCAGGGAGGCCACTGGGTTTCTCAGGGCTGGAACTAGACTCAGAACATAAAAACTAGCTGGTGAACCAGGTCAGAGGTCCCCACATCAAGGAACCAAAAGAATGAAGAAAGAATAAGGACCAGCACCACAAAACGAAGAGTGAAGAGTAAGACCTGGGCTGAGCAGCACCCAGGACAGTGGGAGAAGGAGGTCCTGATGGAAGGGGTCAGGTGACCGAGTGAGAGCCAGGCTCCATGCTATTTGTGGGCTGGTGTGAAAAGGGGACCCAGGTGAGTCTGGTTGGCTCAGAGGACCAGAGGTGAAGCCTAGGCTAGCTTTTCCAGGAGTTGTGACCTTCTGGTGAAAGCTTCTCAGATGTCAGGTATGCTGGGTCAGGTGTGGCCTGAGACTGTCTCTCCCTCCAGGTGAACAAAGCCCTGAAACAGAAGTCAGACATCGAGCACTATCGGAACAAACTGCGCCTCAAAGCCAAGAGGAAGGGGTACTATGACTTCCCCGCAGTGGAGGCAAACAAGGGTCTGACCGAGAGAAAAAAGATGTATGAAAAAGCCCCAAAGGAAATGGAGCATGTTTTGGATCCAGACCCGGAGCTGTGCGCTCCATTCGCGGAGTCTAAAAACAGGTGCGGCTCTAGGGAATTTGCTTTAGATTGCTGTATCATATGTGGGATGAGGGCTAAGGATGCCCTGGGCAATATAGACCTGCTCCCTTGATCTGGTGCCTTAGGACTGTGATCTTTGCAGGCTGCTGATCTGGGCCTCGCTAGAGTGTGCAAGCAGATGCTCTATGATGAGTCAGGAAGAGTGGAAAATTGAAGCCATTAAAAAAAAAAAATTCCAAGGCAAACAACCATAATTGTCCTTTGCCTTAATGGTATTTTCAAACCAGTAGCCATTTCAGAGCTGGGTGAAAATATAATTATCACCTACCTTATTAATGCAACTTCTAGATCAAGGGACATTGTATTTTTCAATTATGTTAGTGGCTGTTGCATAAGAAAAGCAAATTTCATGCTTCACCTTTTTATTCGGGCTTAGTAAGTGCTTATCACATTGCTGCTCAGCGTTCCATGCTGGTTCATCTTGTGCACTCATAGATTTGTTCAATTTTTCAACATTTATTGTCACCTGCAATGCATTAGGTACCAGTCAGGATGCTGCATACTGTCATGACCGTGTGTGTTCTCATTTATTCCTTCAATTCCTTCAACATTTTATAGTGGACCAGACAGGCTGATTGCTGGAAATTAAGGTCTGATGGGAGAGAAATATAATTACCCTAAAAATGCTAATCACAAGTCTGATGGGTTTTTGAAATTCGGGCTGTCATGGTGATCTAAAGGGGGCGCCTAGCCTAGTGAGGTAGGGCTAGTGTAGGTGGTTTGAATTGGCATCTGTCTCAATCTGTTCTATGATGCTACAACAGAACACCTGAGACTGGATAATTTGTAATGAACAGAAATTCATTTTCTCACAGTTCTGGAGATTGAGAAGTCCAAGGTCAAGATGCCAGCATCTGGCAGGAACATTCTTGCTGCATCATCACATGGCCGAAGGTAGAAGGACAAAGAGGGCAAGAGGAGGCCAAACTCACCCTTCTGTAATGACATTAACCCATTTTGTCCCATTGCCCTTGAAGTGGAACACCTATGCATATTTAAATATAGTGCATAACATATAATACAATTGCATAGGAAGAGTATAATTGTATTATAATATCTTCATGTTAGTGCTAATTAATATAATAACATTTAAGTTCTAGATTATGATTTTCAGCCTATTTTAATGCATCTGTGCCAATTTCATTGAAAGAACTGAAAACTTGGGGTTTCATGGGTTAATGTCATCCACATGGGCAGAGCCTTGGTGGCCCTATCGCCCCCGAAATGTCCTGCCTCCTAACATTGCCAAAGCAGCAACCAAATTTCAACATGGGTTTTTGGAGGAAAAAGAACATTTTACCCATAGCAGCTGCCTTCCAAGCCATCTCAGCAGAGTGCCCTCGAGTACCTGGGAAGAGGTTCAGGTTAGCGAAGCCAAGCACACCCACCTTTCTCCCCTTCCTGCCTCCCTGAGCCATTTTCATGGTTCAAGACTGCCTCTTTCCTACACCCACTCTCTTCTTGGTGACTTCCCTCCCCCAGCTTTAAACATGCTGCCACTGTCACCTGTCACAGAGCCACTGCAGGTCCATGCTCACAGCTGGGGCTCACTAGGGCAGTTCCTGGCCTGAATGGGGTATTTATCAAAAGGAAAAATGACTACATGACAGGCTTGGATTAAAGCCACAAAACCAACTTGAGAGGGGGAGTGAAAATTTATGAATAGAATCAGCATAACTTATTCTCTACAAAGAAAAAGAAGAAACTCTCAACCGGAGCTTAATTTACCATGCTTCCAATTAGGCTTGGTTGGTATGGAAGCTATTGATATAAAGTGACACCGTGACAGGGTTCACAATGCATGTGCTTTCCTGCACTTGATGACTGTAGGAAAGAAGAGAAGATATGGATTTTGTCTGGAGGCTGGAGGTTACTTCAACTTTTACTTTGCAGTTTGGGACCCCTTATCTAGTGGTCTCTTATAGTCTGGGCTGAGACCTCCTTTTCCTCAGTTTTCTGCTAACATTCAGGGAAAATGAATCGATGATCATATGCAAATAAGAGGAACTTAGTTTGACAGTTACTTGAGCAAGAACAATTTCAATGATGGCTTTTTTATGAAAAGATAATGAACAAAGAATGAATGGACCTGTCTTCTGCACTGTCCAGCACAGGTTCAGGCCAGATGCGGAAGGCCTTGGTTGGTGGCCTGCTGATGCTGCTGGGCATGTGTCACTAATTCTCAGTACATGTTCACTGAAGAAATGATTCAATGACTCTTGAAGCACCAAAAACTAATTTATTTAAGAACTTTGACCAGGTTATGGAACAATAATAATGGATAATCACAAACTGGGTGACCTGGGAATAGGAATGGAGATAGGATCCTTAAGAGATGGGAAGGGGGAGAAAGATCATCAGAAAAGAAGAGGAGATAGACTCCCTGTAAGCTTGAGGGTGTAATTCTTGACACATTCTGCCCTTGACTCCAGAGGCTGCCTGCTGTTTATCTGTTTTCACAGGTTAGAGTTACCTGTTAATTGCTATTCTCTCTACAGCTCTCCAGAGACCCAACCACAGCAGGCGCAGGGAGAGAAACATTCTCCAGTCCAGAGGTAGCATCAGTAATTTTACCTTCAGACTGAAGCTCAGTATAAAAAAAATAAAAATAAAAAAGGCTACAAAGCTTAGATTCCAAATGTTGACTCATCATTAAATCTTTTAAAAGAATTTTCATGGCTCTTTTTTTCCTAGAATCAGAGAAACACTCCATTTTATACTATAAACTTTTACCAAGACAAAGTGCACACTAGTGCGTAGGTGCGGTAGTGCAGGCTCCCATCTCGCTGCCCCGGTTCACGCCTGCATTCTATAAACCTGTAGGAATCCCACCTAACAGCTTTTCTCAGCAGTGTGAGTTGTTAATGTGTTATGCAGCATCCTCCCTTGACAAATGGGAATTGATGGATAAATAGCCTTGGCAGGGGAACTCTGAGGTGTCAGCTATGCTGCTGTAATAACCACATTTTCTAGTTTCTGTATTCGGTGCTTAGATGCTTAGACCTAGGAGTCTTTGCTGACTCCAGAAAAACCGTCCCTCCCAGGGCTACCCAGTTCCTAGTGATAGGAGAGGACTTAACCTGCAGATGCACTTGTCATATGCAAACCAACCCATCCAGAACCCATGCCTTGGTTACCACCTTTAGATGATCTCACTGGCTCCCACTCTAGGCCATTATCCAACTGCCCAAATCACCCCAGGGCCAAGTACCAGATGACTGAGCCCTCTTGCCTTAGGATCTGCCCAAATTATCCAAACTAGCCCACTACCAGCCTGCTCCTTCCCTGCCCGTTACTTCCCACGGAAACCACAAGAAAGTCTTTCGCCCATGTTTTCTCCTGACTCCTTGGCCTCCTGACCAACCTGGTGTTTCTCTAGGTGGCCTCTCCCGGGTGGGACCTATCCCCTTCTCTTGAGATCTGTGGGTGTAACAAGTTACCTTTTCATCATCTCCTGATCTTCCAGCCTTGTCAGACCTGAATAATAACTAAACCTACGTTTTAAAGCAACCATCTCCCACACTTCTCCAATGAGTTTGAGCCCCAGGTATCCAAAACACTCATCTGCTCCACAGTGGATGGCTTCCCTCCTTTTCCTCCCCATTCCTCTGGCACTGCCTCACAAATTAACCCCTGGCACTCAAATCACCATAGAGTGCACATCTGGGGACCCACCTGAAGGCGATAACCTATAAAGACAGAGTTGCTCTGATGGAACCTCTAGGTCATCTCAGGGTTCAATTTGTGAACTACTTTATTAGCAACCCTGGGATTAAAAAGCTCTTGAAAAGCCAAATGAGACTCATCATTATCCACACAACAATATTTTCAGAGGCAAAAACTTACTTCTCAAGTTTGCCTGTTCTAAAATTTATTAACTTTTCTAAAATACAGCAAAATACCAGCAAAAAATGAGTCTATCTAATGGAACTCCTTTTGATCAAATTAGGCCATTTCTCTACCTGAAAGCCTAATTCTAAGTAGCTATCCATATACCAGGCACATATTGGGGATCTGGTCAGTGGAGATCTGTGTTGAACCTCAGGTGGAGCTGTGCATCCTAATGGCACATCTTCTCTGAGGGAAGATTAGACTCCAGTGTCTTAGTTCTTACCCATGTTCAGACTTCTTGAAATGGCTTATACCATCTCCCTGTTGTATTTCTAATACTTACACAATAACCTCCTGAAATCTCCGTTGTCAATCCCACTACTTACTTGGCCACCATCCTTATTAGTGAATCTTTTCTCAATGAGCTAATTGGCAATCTCAGGAGAGTTGTGAAGCCTGCTTTTTTAAAGATATCATTTGTAATTAGGTCAGGATGGGAATTCTTCAGGCTCTAAAGTGTGAGTCCCTCAGAACCGATTTTGTCTCACAAGCCCACTGAGGTTGGGTGCTTTTCCTAAAGGAAGCCTGTGATTTGAGAATAACTAGAGGACACAGTTTATAATATCAGGTTGAAGTTCTGATATTAGTCAACATTCTTGGTGGTTGAAAATGGTGGAAATCCAGCACAAACTGGTTTAATAAAAAGGGGATGTAGTATTTAACATTGTTGAAAGGTCAAGGTTTCAGTGTGGCTGGATAAAGGAGGACATACAATGTTTTCTGCATTTGCTCTTGCTCTCTCTTTACTCCTTGACAGCCTGGTTTGAAGGCAGGCTTTACCCTCATGGTGGTAAACTGGCTGCCAGTAATTCCAGGCTTGTGTCCCTATCTTCTTAAAAACTTCAATGCCAAGAGAATGCCCCTTTTCCTAGTTGCCCTAGCTAAAGCTCGGGGACTCAGTCTCATCAAACCAACTCGGGTCATGTGCCCACCCCTTGACCAATCACATAGCCATGGAGATTCAATGCTGTGATTGGTCCTGCTCGTCAGTTGAATTTTCTAGAAGTAGCAGTGTAGAGCCTCTGAATGTGCTACTCCCTGGCCTGAAATACTCTGTACTCACATCAGCATGGGGCTGACTCCATTTAGGACTTTGCTAAAAATGCCACCTCCCACAGAGGTCTTCCCTGACCTCTATCTGAAGTCATCTTCCATCCCAGTCACCCTCTGTCATAGCCCCTGTTTTTCTCTATAACACTGTCATTCTGAAATTGTCATGTTAATTGTCTGTCTCCATCATTAGGATATAAACTCTGAGAAGAGTCAGAGCCATGGATGCTCAGCATCTTCCATGGTGCCTGGCACATAGTAGGCACTCATTAAAGACTGGATGGATGGATGGCCCTGTGTTAGCTTTCTGTCAGTGTGACAGAATAACTGAGATGGACATCATGGCTGAACAAAGCCATTCATATCATGGCAGCCTGGAAGGAGAGAGAGAGAGAGAGAGAGAGAGAGAGAAGGAAGAGAAGGAGCTGGGATAAAATAGAGCATTCAAGAGCACACTCCCAAAGACCTCTTTTCTTCAAGGAGGCCCCACCTCCTAATTTACCACCACCTCCCAATAGTCCATTAAATTATGACTACACCAATGGATGAATCCATTGATGGGGTCAAAGCCCTCATGATCCTATCACCTTCCAAAGGCCCCACCTCTGAACACTGCTGGTTTGAGGGACCAAGCCTTCAACACCTGAGCTTTAAGATCTAAACCATAGCAGGCCCCAAATTGCCTCTCGATTTATGGCTTCTTAAGCCCAGGAGAGAATCCACTATGGTAATTGTAGAATCACAATATTAAGCAGCACACTGGCTACAGGGTTTATTGACACATAGAATCCTGCACTTGAAATCAGATTGAGTAAAAGGAACCAGAGACCTGCTCAGTCAACAAAGTCAGCAAAGGCAAGTTGGTTGTGCCAGCGTTAGCTGTCCTGGAGGGTCCAGGCAGAGCCCCTGGTCTTGCCATCAGCAGAATTTTAGATGAGGTTGCACTGTTGCAATTGATTGTAATTACCTAGTCTCCATATGAAAGAACATTTATAATTCAACCATATAGTTCCAGCCTCTTGGGGAGGGGGATCTTTATTCTACTCTTTCTATAGCCTATTCTGGCCAGGGAACAAACACCATCAGTTTTGAGATTTGTGAAGCAAATCCAAACCCTTCATTGGTTGCCTGTAGTTTTGGATCAGTGGAGAATTCCATCTGTCAGGGCATTTGCTGCATCATAACAGTTGTTGAAATTTCTTCAGGCAACAGATGAAGAACTCTGTCTACCGAAGCCGGCAGTCTCTGAACAGCCCGAGTCCAGGAGAAACCGAGATGGACCTTCTGGTCACTCGAGAGCGACCCCGGCGTGGCATCCGGAACAGTGGATATGATGTAAGTCTCTGGTGGGCTGGGGTGAGTGCGAGCTTTGCTTTCCCCCAAAAGCAGAGAGGATAGAACAGCCCATAATGTTTCATTTACTACCTGTTTATAGAATTTTGAAATGCATTCAAATGTTTTCAATTTTTTATTATCTCTTTTCCAAAGTAAGCCTCTTTGGAAATATGTCAGAGTAACAAATTATTGCAGAAAGGATTATGATTGCTATGAATTGCTACCTTAATTTCATTTTCCCATCTTACATTACTGGCCTTAAATTCAATGGAGATTCTAAATGTCCTTAATTTTTTCCCCCTCTGTCTTTAGAAACTCAGTAAGATCCATGAAAAAGAGTGAGAATTCATTTGAACGTGGGTTTCTTTTAATCCATAGCAGTGATGAAAATTTGGATTTGTTCCTGATTTCATAACTCCTCATATGCCATGGAAACAATGAGATGTCCAACAGAGCGAGTAGATGATTTCATGTGACAAAGCACATGCTTATGTGCTGTGATAGATCCAAACTGCAGAAATTCTGCTAAGCCCTTCAGACTTCCCCAGATGAGAAGCTGCAATTGGATGCCTCCTGTCAAGTATACATCCTGGCCCTGGAATTGCACCATGAGCTCATGTGAACAGTTCAATAATGCTTCTCCCTCTCCCACAATTTGAAAGAGGCTTGATATGCTCTGAGGTTTTATAGAACATATTTCTTATCAGGCATGGAGGCACTGGCCTATAATACCAGCAACTCCAGAGGCCGAGGCAAGAAGGTCACAAGTTCAAGACCAGGCAAAGCAACTTAGTGAGGTCCTAAGCCACATAGCAAGACTCTGTCTCAAAAAAAAAAAAAAAAAAAGAGGAAGGTTAAAAAAAATAGAAGTGATGGGGGTGTCGCTAAGTAGTAAAGCACCCCTGGGTTCAATCCCCAATTCTTTCTCATTTCCCTAAAATGTTCCTCTGATTACAAATTGAGGGGCTGGGGATGTGGCTCAAGCGGTAGCGTGCTCGCCTGGTGTGCTTGCGGCCCGGGTTTGATCCTCAGCACCACATACAAACAAAGATGTTGTGTCCGCCGAGAACTAAAAAATAAAAATTAAAAAATTCTCTCTCTCTCTCTCTCTCTCCCACTCTCTCTTTAAAAAAAAAAAAAAACAAATTGAAAAGTTTCTCTAAGAAGAGTTATAATTTAAATATGTCTAGAGAAAGTTGTTACAATTTGAGAAACTATAATTTGAAAATCACACTCAATTTCTTAAATATATCATACTGATATGAAGGCAAGACTATTTTTTCCCCTTAGGATCAGTCACTGCTTGCCACATTACCATTCTGAAATTATCATGTTAATTGTCTGTCTCCATCATTAGGATATAAACTCTGAGAGAGTCGGGACCGTGGATGCTCAGCATCTTCCATGGCACATAGTAGGCACTCATTAAAGAATGGAGAGGTAGATGGCTTTGTGTTAGCTTTTCTGTTGCAATTGATTGTAGTTCATAGTTTTGCCACGAAAGTTTAAAATGAGATTTTTTTTAATGGTTTAATCAAAGAATAGGGATATTCTGCTTAATTTCCTTTTCTGGTGATCTTTTTTACACTTAAGCTTGATGTTGGGTTGGTGGGGAAACTCCTTTCTATTTTTTTTTCCTTTTTCCTAAAATTGTTTGATAGCTTAGTTTTTATAAAATTCTAGAATTTTTTTAAAACTTAAAATGGACCTGTATTTTATTTATTTATATATGTTGCTGAGAATCAAACCCAGTACCTCACACGTGCTAGACAAGCACTTTACCACTGAGCTACAACCCCAGCCCCAAATTCTAGAAATTTTGAGCACATCTTTTTTTGTTAAACTATCCTAGTAGATCATTTTTTTTATACCAAATTCGTTCATTGATTTGATCATCAATGTGCAATTAAAAATCAGCATAAGTTTCATGTTTTCAATCAACCCCCAAGAGTGAACAATCTTCCTGGAATGCTTACTGAGTTTGAGGAACTTTTCTTTCTGCTTAAGCACCTGGGATCAAAGATTTTTAGTTTATCTCAAGATTAATATTAACAGGTTTCTTGTGAAAGTCTAGGCAGAGGCACTTTTAGCAATGACAAAATGGACCAGAGATTCCCTGAGAATCTTTATTTTCAAAAAAATGCTTAAATGAGAATCTGACATGACTTGCAGTACTTACCTGATACCTTTAGAACATTATGTTAGTAAATTGCTTAGAACAATAGGAGAGAGAGAGAACTTTTAAATTTTTAAAAGGAGACTGCTCACCCCTCACGGACATGCACAGATATTCCAAATACAGATAACTTTAGGGAGAACCTCTTCATTCTAATAGAATTTTCAAAAATCTACATTTCTTTGAGAAGTATTCATGATCTCAAAAACAGAAATATAAGCTTCCTTAAGGAGAAACAGTTATCTACAGAACAGCTTTGTGAATTTAGGCTATTGAGGAACAGTTTTAAAATTTAGACTATTGACCCTAAGAATGACATTGCTAGCTGGGCAGGGTGGCACATTCTTGATTGTCCCAGCTACTTGGGAGACTGAGGCAAGATTATGATGAGTGAAGCCAGCCTGGGCAATTTAGTGACACACTGTTTAAAAAAAAAATGAAATCACTTAATATGTATCTCCTCTTCTATTTTTTTATACTAAACATATGAAAAGTAGCTATCATTTACTGACCACATGCTATCCCAGATCCAGGGCCCATCCCCTTAACCATCATGCGATATGGCTTGTATGTACACCTCTCCTTACTACGTGCCTATCCTCATATCCTGTAATATAGGTTCAATATTTCCAAACCTCTGAAAGTGACCTCTGTAGGTCTCAGAAGGAGTCCTACATGCATAAGTCGCCCAAACAAAAAATAGACCAGCAAATAAAGTAGAAAAAGAAGCAAGTCATAGTTTTAAACAATGCCTTCATTTTCTGAGCTCAGTCGTTTTCTAAAAAATGCCAAGGTCCTCCTTCCTGGCAAAAGAATCCATTAGCCCAGCAGTGAACCTGTCATTCAGTTGGAACATGTCATTCTTCCTACTGGGTCTGGGGATCTCAAAAGCAGGCCAAAATACCCAGTCATTTCTGCCAGGTTAGGAAAGATTGACAACAGTAAAACAAAAGCTCCAGAAGGTTTATTTAATTTTGAATTTCTCAAGAGTTGACAACTCCAGAGTTGTCCTAAAGGAAAAGTCTGCATGTAAAAATAAATGAATAAATACATAAGTAAGCAGACCGATACAGCTACCTAGGCAAATCCTAGCCCCAGGATGGATGGCAGCCTGGATCGTTTGCAACGTTTCCCATAGAGCGAGAGGTGTTCACACCTGCAGAAGAGAGACTAAACCCCAAGGAGTTTGGATTCATTGTGTTTTGCAGCAATAATTCACAACCTCTTGGTCACTCTATCAACCAATGTATTCCCACTGGTAACTCTGGCCCAGGTGGTAGTAATTTTCTAAGAGTCCACACCCCTGCTAAGAGAATGCAGTATTTTTTTTACACAATACCTTTATTTTATTTATTATTATTTCTTAATGTGGTGCTGAGGCTCGAACTCAGTGCCTCACATGTGCTAGGCAAGCACTCTACCTTGGAGCTACAACCCTGGCCCCAGTCACAAACTGATTAGTCCTACAAGGCCAGACTATATCATCAAAGTGACTCAGGCACTGAAATGCAGTGGAAAAGAAAATTTCATTCTATGTGTAAAAGCAAAAAAGTATTTTCTAATGTTGTATTCTGAATGCAAATCATGTAGAAAATAACAAAGCAGTGAATAAAAGCCTCCTGATTGCAAGCCGGGGTCCCCAGCATGTCCTGAACACCTGTTGGGGAAGAGAAGGAGGCAGGATTGGACAGAGTTAAAAGCTCAAGACCATGGTACAAATACCACAGGGTCTTGGCTAACCCCACAGGGTGCTCTGAAGCCCAGGTGGCACTGCAGACTTATCCCAAGTTTGGGCAAAACAGCTGGACTTTTGTACAGTAGTATGGATCAGTCATTGGGTGGCCTTGGGTGAGGCACTCTTTTTAGCCAAGGACAGATATCTAGCAGGAGCTGACATCGGAGACCTGGTGGCTGGCAGTGTGCCCTGCTGCTGGGTGAACCAGTCCTCCAGTTGTGAGCAGCATGACCAGAACTATTAGTTCCTCCCACTCCCTATGCTGCTTGGTCCACTTGAGGCCCCCAAACCTCTGTAGAAGCCAGAGAACAGTGGACAAAATAAGAATATCCCTTGGGAGTTGCTATCCCTTTCACTGCCTCTAGCAAAGGTTTATTGAGCTTGGTGAAGCCTTTACAGCAGGTGTGCATTTAACATATGCGAATTCACCAGTACAAAAATAAAAGACCATTAAATCCATGCTAAAAATTAGCTTTTTTCACGTATCCTGTTTGTATTATCCATTGTACATTTCCTTTTCCCTATTACTCCTAAGATGTATCCACAAAAGACATTTGAAGGGATTTTCAAGGGTTTGACTCTCCACAACTTTTACCTTCTCCACCAGCATTAGCATCTAAGCGCCCCATGGAATTCCACCCTACCTACCTAAGTGAGGCTCTGCGGAAGGACAAGATGTTCGAACTCTATGCCTGCCCTTGGGGGTCACAGATGAATGGAGGAGAAAGGTAGAGGCACACACAACCTGCTGTGACCATGAACTTGGATGAGAGGAGGGACTCCTCTTGCAGGTCTCTTCCTCCCTGTCTATCCCAGGGCTGCTGCCTGGTCCAGTCCCCATTACTCACCAGGCTAAAGCTGCCAAAACGCTGCTGGGGGAATCCTGGAACACACATTGCTGCAAATCCTCCAGTGACTCCTAGCAGCTTTGAGCCCGAGACATCTAAGCTCCTGACCTGGGACTCATCTGCTGTGGAGCCCAGGCATGCCCTGCAAGCTGATGGTCCTCACTCCTTAACCCTCCCCATGGCTCCAGGCTGAACGCCCTTCCCCACACTTGGCGTTGGGTTTCCTGTCTCATGTTGGTGC